GCCTAAACGAACAGGGTGCATATTGGTGGATAGGAGTACTTGGCAAATCTATGACTATTTCAACTCCTAAAAACAAGCAGCATATCTTGAATCATAAATAATTTGTTTTTAAAATTTCAAAACTAGGGCCTATTACTCTAACTCGGCCTCCTTCTGTACATCTTCCTTCGACCATTGCTGATCAATTGGCAAGTGGAACCTGCACTGAACAGCACCATGTTAGCATCCACAGGTGCTAAAGCTTGGACCTAGGATTGAACTCTACCACTCATCGAGCGGCACATCTTTGTTCAACTATAGCCAATCAGATGCCAGGTAGACTCTACCACTCACCGAGCGAAAGAGGAGGGGGGAGTGGTCACTGGGCATGCGATGGTGGAGTGAGTGGATGTCGAAAAGGATCAAAGGGACCCTAGAGGAGGTGAATAGGTCAAATCTGAATTAACAACACAAACTTACAGCGAAATGAGTACTGACTAGATGTCTAGTATTGCTCAGTTATCTGATAGAAATTGGATGCCCGATCTAAGAATGAAACTTCCTACACGATCTACAAAGTTTACCAACCAAATTTGAGTTGATTTGTTACCACAGCCTATAGAATATGCTTAGAGAAGTTCTCATGAGATTCATGCACTCAAAGATACTTAGCAAAGATCCGGCAAATAAGGCACAAACAATAAGAACATGATGAACACAAGAAACACGAGATTTAACCCGAGGTTCTGTCAAACCACAAAGAAACGCCTCATTGTTGAGGAAACCACAAAGGCTTTGGTCTTTTTTCAACCCTACCCTTTTATCAAGCTAACCACAAATGTCAAGTTCAGAGATCTCACTGGAATCAATGAGGTAATACAAACTTTCCAGAGCACACCAATGAATAGATGCTACACATACAGCTCTTTGTTGGCTAGGATTCCTTGAATCCAAGAGTAGGGTCGGGTACTTGGACTTGTGCAAATCCTTGATAACATTTTGGAGGAATTCTGGAGGAATTTGGATTGTTTGGAAGAATGCTGGAGGAATTTGTGAGAGAAAAACACTGTTCCGGATGAAAAAAGAAGCGGATCAAGCCGGGTTTAAAGGCACGCAAACGGGACCATTTGTGTACTCATTCTTATAAAAAGCACTCTGGCTCCTTGAAATGAACTGATTTAGGCAGGTAGCAAGTCTCTGTTGGACAAAATCTTGAAAACCGGTAGTCATTTACTACTTTTGCGCCTGTCTTTTTTTGGTATCAGGAGGCCTGCAACTTGTTCAGATGGTAAATCTTAAGATAGCGATGTGTATCTCTTCCTCTCTATAATCTCCCCCTCTAGATGGCTAATAAGATTATAATTTTACACGTTAATGAGCTCCCAGCTTAACTGACAAGCGAAGTATCCGTTGATAATGAGATGGATTTATTCTACTTCGTACGATTTAACGATGTTGCTTTTTTAATGAGATCTACGTTTATAGACGGGAGCGTTGTACGAGACTACGCCCACAGTAAACCGATCCTGGAGGCAAGAGATCGCGACCCTGAACGGTACGTGCGGGGCGGGGCGCGGGTCATCGGTCAAATGCGACAAGGCTACGGCCCAAGCCTTTCTTTCGCCCCGTGACGCGGAATTACGCGACCGACCACCAATGTTTGTTCGCTACGAGCGACAGGAGTAGGGTCCAGTTGTGTCCGCTTGGCCTGGTTGGCCCGGTCAACTTCTGTCAGTTTAAACAATTGACCCATCCACCGGCTTGTTGTTAGGTTAGTTGGCGTTTAGTTGGCGATTTTTTTTGGAAAATGGTACCGTAGCATTTTCGTTGTTATTTGGCAATTAGTGTCCAATCATAGTTTAATTAAGCTTAAAAGATTTGTCTCGTGAATTTCGTCTAAACTGTGTAATTAGTTTTATTTTTTATTTATATTTAATGCTTCATGTATGCGTCCAAAGATTCGATGTGACGGAAAATCTTGAAAAATTTTGTAAAATTTTAGGAACTAAATAGTCACTTAGCTGCCCCCGTGTTCTCTTGGGCATAGCTGCCAGGTGGGATCGATCGTTCAGCAAAATCGTGTCTTAGCGAATTTTCGTAGGTTGACTTAGTGGCAGATCAGCTAACGTGCTCCTTGCTCTCTTTTGTTCGTAGGATCTCAAAAACCTGAGTTGATAGATCTTGGTTTTTGAGATAAAAAGGTGTGACTACACGTACATCGTTGTCTCCTTCACAATTTGTACCTAAAATAAATTTTAGAAAAATAGGAGCACATATTGCAAAGAACTTAAACTCGGATACACATATCTTAACGACGAACGTACTAAACTATATACTCAATTCATGTGCTTTCTGGTTTTAAGTCATTGGCCCCGTTCGTTTCGTTGAAAAAATAAGCTGAAATGATGTTCCACCGATTTGTTGTGAGAGAAAAACATTGTTTCGACTGAAAAAACAAGCTGAAAAGTACAGATTATAAGACAAGCGAACAGGGCCATTGTTGCTGACAATTTATAAAATTATAGAGCATCTTCGTCTATAAAGCACAACATTTTGCAACAGACGTAAAAGGTTGATTAGGGCTCCGAGCTCATAGATAAATTTGTGTGCTGCTAAAAAGCTGATACCTAGGATTTTAAGGCTTTTAATTTGGGATGAAGATGCTAATTAGTGTGAGAGATGACTAGCTTACTTGGTTATGTTATTTTTGGTAGAACCTACCTTATCCAATTAAAGTCACAGGTTTGGCACATGTGTTTGTATTTTTTCCTTGTCCAGAAACTTGCTATGTTGTTCATCATTTAGTGTAAGAGATGTGCTAGATGAAAAAGTAACTCAACGCAACCGTGACATCAGTAATCTCAAAATATAACTACAATCTCCCAATGGGGCTCAACACCACATCTTCATTCACAAACTAGGAGCTAACAATAATTATAAACATAAGTGATGAGCCATTTCACTAAAGTTTACTCAAAACCCAAACATTTGTGCATGTACATTGTTTAAAAAACATGAGAGAAAATCCAGCTCGACTAGTGCCCAGACGTCCGAAAAGATGCCCGCCTCCAGACTCCCACGACTTCTTTGTTTCCCGTGCTTAGCGAGTGGATGGCACAGACCTCAGCTTGCTGCGAGGCCACCACACGAGCATCGCGCCCGTCGTCGGCCCACCGGGGGCCACCATCTCCGCACGCTCATCGGGCACCACATCCTCGGGCATCACGCTCGTCCGCCATTTTGCGTCATCGCGCTCGCCGAGCTCGAACTGCTGCGTCAAGATGGAGGTAAGCGAGGGGAGGGAGAGGAGAGGAGAGTGCGAGGTGCACCGCACAACGAAGGAGTCAAAGCCCTACGATAGGCCGCTGTCCGCCAACCACCAACGTCATTGCAACATGTGCAACACCCGATCTACTATTGAAACATCCAAATGCAACATTTGTAACATACGTTTGAAGATAGATGAAACATTTGAAAAAAACTGAAAACACTTGAAAAGCCATTACAAAAACATATGCAACATCCAGATAAAACACTTGCAACATATGTGTGAAACATACGCAACATCTAGATAAACACACTTGCAACATACGTTCTGGAAAAACAGATGAAACATTTAGAACAAATGCTTGCAACATACGTGTACAGCCATTGTAACATGTGCAACATCTCGATCTACTTTTGTAACATCCATATAAAACACTTGCAACATACCTCTGAAACATCTGAAACGCTTGAAATATACACTTGCAACATACGCTTTCAGGAAACCCTAGCAGACGGATGGGTGGGTAGAGCATCCGGCGCTAGATCATGGTAGAGAAGGAGGATGGAGCCACGGCACCACGGAGAAAGTGGGGCCTAGGACAAAGATGGCGAGGAGAGTGTCAGGGCCTGCCAGGTGGGCGCGGGAGGAAGGAGGCATGGTGGGAGGAGAAGACGTTGTTCGTGCCGACACCTGGAGAGACAGCTGCCGCAGCCAGAGAAGAAGACGCCACGGGCGAGGCCGATGTCGAGGAAGGGTGTTGTCATGCTATGAGCCGCGAGCTTCTTCTAGGGGCTGCTGCTTAGCGGCAGGGTGACGCTGCTGACGCCGCCGTCGAACGCGTCTTCAGGTCACGGCTCCAGGATCCCTCTGTTCTCAGATGGTTGTGACTAGCGTGGCATGTAACTAACTAACTAATGAGTATGCACCATGGAGCGAGCCTTAAGGGTAGTTTGGAAACTCAAATCCGCTTAGAATCTAGGACTTTTTTCAGGTGAAAAATCCATGGGATATTATTTGAATATTCTATTTAGTTATTTATGGAGGGTTTTTCATCTCTGGGTGTGCCTTCCCCTTCTTCCAAATTAGCCCTAAGAGTTTTAGATGGACCCTGAGGGGAAGCAGACCGGGCTGGTCCGCAGGCCTATGGAAACGCATCCGAGCAGATAGACACCCACACCGTATCATTATCGAAAATACAATGGGGAAACTAGGGAAGGGAGAACTCATAGGGTGTTTGGATGCCGGCCACAGATTGCTTTGCTGCAGTTGTGGCACGCCACAGTTAATCTTGCTGCTGTTTGGTTCAGACTTAAGTGAAGGCAGCCACGAGGAGCACTACCCTCATTTGCCGCCACAGATTGTGGCGAAGTATTTGGCCGCCTAAGCTGCGGCGGCGCCGCAACTCGCCGCAGCCTGGGCGTGGCGCAGCATGGCCCGGAACCAAACATCCTCTCAATCCAACCGACCAACCCAGTCAGACTCAGCTTAAACAGGCTACAAGGCCCAGAGCATCATTGGAGCCCAACCTCTCCAATACTGTTGGGCCACAACCGTGTAATCCAGCCCAGCGACTCGCCGTCCACCCGTTCCTCGCCCGTCGCCCGCATCAAAGCTACCGACCAACCAAATCCCGCCGCTTCCTGAATCCTATCACGCCGGACGCGCCGCAGCCGCGAAACCACATCCTCGCACGCCTCGCAACCCAACCCAAGCAGATAGCATTGCGTCGAATACATCATCGTCTGCAGCTGCAATGGCCACCACCACCACCACCACCACGGCGGCAGCGTCCCTCACCACCCTGTCCCCCGCCGCCGGCAAGCGGTTCGGCCTCTCGTCCCCGTCCCTCTCATTCTCCTCTCACCGCCTGGCCACCACCACCCTCCGCACCGGCGCGTCGTCGAGGACGGCGAGGAGGCGGGCGGCGACGGCGTCCCCGGTGGTGGCGACCATCGCGGTGGGCGACAAGCTCCCCGACGCGACGCTGTCCTACTTCGACCCGGCCGACGGGGAGCTGAAGACGGTGACGGTGGCGGAGCTGACGGCGGGCAAGAAAGCGATCCTGTTCGCGGTGCCCGGCGCGTTCACGCCCACGTGCTCGCAGAAGCACCTGCCGGGGTTCGTGGAGAAGGCGGGCGAGCTGAAGGCGAAGGGCGTGGCGACCGTGGCGTGCGTGTCGGTGAACGACGCGTTCGTGATGAAGGCGTGGAAGGAGTCGCTGGGGCTCGGCGACGACGTGCTGCTGCTGTCGGACGGCAACCTGGAGCTGACGCGCGCGCTGGGCGTGGAGATGGACCTCTCCGACAAGCCCGTCGGGCTCGGCGTGCGGTCCAGGAGGTACGCGCTCCTGGCCGAGGACGGCGTCGTCAAGGTGCTTAACCTTGAGGAGGGCGGCGCCTTCACCACCAGCAGCGCCGAGGAGATGCTCAAGGTGCTCGGCTGAGCAGCTTTGAGCAATTGATCTGCCTGCCTGCCGCGTCGTCTGCTCATTGCAGTTGTGCCGTCGCTGTAGCAGCAGCAGTAATGAGTGAATAATAGTCGCGGGAGCCGTGCTGCGTTCTCCTGCGACACGAACCTATCGTGCGATGCCCGTGTAGCCATGTGATCGATGGAAATGTGAAATCCGAGTCGAGACTTGAGCTGAGTGCCTGTGTTTCCGTGGAAATGTGGAATGCAATTGCATACTGTATCTGTTTGTGCCATTGCACAGGACACAGCTTGAGAAAGGTATTCACCGAATATTTGGGGCGGCAACACTGTAACGAAGTAGTAGCGAGCAGGGGAGTATGCGGCCCAAGCTGACAAGCTGTGGTAGGCCTCGTTGGGAGGAATCGGGCCCGAGTACAGCCCAACGTCTAGTAGTCGATTTGGATGCTTACAGAATGCACCATCACTGAGTACAGCCCTCCATGTCCTGTCAGTGGTCCAGGCGTGTGTTGGCTTAACTCAACGGTCAGATCGGGATACCATGGGGATGCGCCCCACGAGCACAATGGTTAAGTACAGACACGAGCTCTCAGGTCCTGGCACACGTGATTAGGCGAAGATGACACACCGGACAAGCATGTTTACGCTAGCTAATGCGGCGACGTGTGGCTCTTCCGTTAGCGGCGTCGGCGTCGGTGGCGTATCGGCAACGCCGTGTCGGCACATGTCCCCGGGCCGGTTAAATGCATGGCCGGCCAATCATCTACGGGCCCCGCCGCTGATTACGGACCCGGATCGGTGATTAAGCCCGAGCACCCGAGAGATCATGTGCTACAAAGCAGCAGGGGGCGCTCGCGTCACGCGCGCGGCGCGGCGGGACGGGGAGAGAGGCGGAGCAGGGCACACGAGAAATGCCCCGTTCACTTGGCCGATAAGCTATGACTGAAAGTATTACTGTTGGTTGACTGAAAAAATACGATTTATAACCAAGCGAACATGCGAAAATATGTCAGATGAGACGAGGCGAGACGAGCAATCTGCTCGAGAGCCGTGTAAAGAAAGGGGGCAGTACAGAGTTGCACAGCTTGTCCTCCTTTTCGGATGCCCTAGTGGCTTGTCACGGAAGGAAAGACAAACCTACACTTGTCATTTTGTCTAACAGCTAGTAGTACCCCTACTGGTGTAACTGGTGCACTCATGAGAAATTCCGAAGGTTTGGGCCTGTTCGTAACAGCCACAGCCGGCTACAGTTGCAGCTGCACGGTGAAATGAACGGAGCTTTGCACTGGGGACTGGTCTAAGTGTAGTGGTATGATTCCTTTTGTTTCGAGGTGAAACATTACTCTTTTCATCATTAAAGAAAAGAAGGGAGTAGTAACGCAAATAAATTTTTAAGGGTGCTTAACTCCACCAAATATCGTATCTTCTTCTTTTTATCCCTAAACATTTGCAATATAACAGATGCGCAATAGTTCTAACTAGTCCATTAAATCCATCATTCTCTCTCTTAAATATAGCTTCTCTCCACCCTCTCCTTCATGTCTTCATAGCCACTGCCATCAGTAGTCGTGCTGCCGGCCCGTCCATAGCTAAGTTGTCGTGGCGCCACCGGTTGACCTATTGTCGCTCCAATGCCTAAGGTTGCATTTTGTTTAAGGACAACGAGGGACAAGATAAGATAGACACATTCCAGTTTTTTGGGTCATGACCATTCCATGTCTGTGTTTGCTTGAGCGGACAAGGATGTCCTTGTTTTATGATTGGTACAAGGGATGGGAAGGAAGATGATAGACATAGACAATTGTTCTAGATCTGTTAACAAACCGTCGAGTACGTGGAACCCATGCATTAGCCTCTGTGACCATCTTCTTCGTTTCTCACGTACGCCCAGATCTGTGTTCGACGCCCCAGTCTCTGCTCGCTGCTTCCACCCTCGTCTGATGCCTCGGCCCCGCCCTCGCACCAGCATCCCTGGCCTCGTCCTTGACTGCCATGGCCACCCCTGCTCTCACCCGCAATGGCTCCACCCTTGTCCACGACCTCACCCACTCCTAGCCTCGGGCCCGCATACCATGGTCGCCCCAACCCCACCTACCATGGCTCTGGCACTGTCCTCTTCTAGCCATGACTCGCTTGCCATGGACTACTGCAACTCGAAGAAGAGGAGCAACAAACGGTTGGCACACAGTGTCGAAGAGAGACAGGGTAGTTCGCTCAAAATTAGGGGATGACATAGACCTAGACATATAAAATATTTCTCTGTGGACATTGATAAGGACATGAGCTCCATGCATTCGACCATGCTTGGAGATAGAGGACGAAGAGATCAGCGAGGGTGTCCTAACCGAGAAGGAAGCCCAAAGCTCATCCGGTTCGAGTCACCAAGGTGGAGGCCCAAATCAAGTTCGAGCCCATCTCGGGTTCCAGAACCAGTCTGTCATAAACCTGGTCACACAGGTGCGTTCGGGCTTCGTTTTCGACGATCCACATATGGATGGAAAGCTAATTACATAAGGAAGTCAATGCAAGTGGTCTCACGTCAAAAGCCCTTCGGAATCAACGGGAATCGTCAAAACGAGTCAGCGTCCAGAATCTAACAGGGTGCTGCGACACCGTCTTTTGGTCCGTTGGGCCGTGTATCGTCTTAGAGCCCATTAGGGGGCGCGTCCAGGGGGGTGACGTCCAAGGCTCTATAATTAGCAGCCGTTGCTTTCCTTAGGGTTTGGGTTTTGTTTAGTTCTAGTTTTTCTTCGTGAAACTGAGATTGATTCGTTGTAATTGTGGTGACAAGTCCTTTTACAGTGATTCAGGGCCCCCGTTCTTGATCTTGTTCGCCTGTGACGATTAGTCCTTTCGAATAAAGACCTAAACTCCTTCTCGTTATTATAAGCCTCATATTTATTTGTAATTTTAGATTGCGTTCATCCCGTTCTTGCTTGTGTTCTCAATTCGCTTGCAGGAAAGCCTTCTCGGCGAGGTCAATTGCGTTCGCGTGGTTGATAACCAACGGAGCAGTGGTGTAACGGTTGTGAGGGTCCAAATTAGTCTTGGTTCGAAGCTTAGATCGTAAATATCGAGTCTCCACCAATCGACGCTATCGTACCTATCGAAAGATCAGGCCTTGTCAACATCAAGCGGTATCGGAATTCCAGGTTACCCGTGAGGTATACTATCATGTTTCCCCTTTAGATTCAGTTCGTGTCATCACCTATAGTCCACAAAAAGCCCAAAAATATTTACACTTTTCGTTGTCCTATCGCCTTTTTAGCCTTTGCAATTTTCGTTTCAGATTCACTTTGTTGAGTTTGTGTCCGTAGTCGAGTCTTGTTGCTGGTTTAGTGTGTTTGTGGTCGTAGTTTCAACCGCCCGTCGCTGTTTGTTGTTTCCGCCGCTATCCCATCCACCATTACCCAAACAACAAGTTGAGCCACCACATTACTTGACCTGCCCCGCTAGCCGCCTTATGTGAACTCTCGCCGCGCAAATCCTAGATAGGTTGCAAGCCGCATTGTGTCGCCTTTGCATCGCAGCCCTTCTTGATTCATCTGGCGAATATCTATTGCTTGCTGAGAAGCTTTGCCCTAGCCGCCGCCGCCTTACTAGCCGCGTTGTGCCGTGTGGAACCCCTGATTCGGGCGACCTTCCTTACAACAGGCATAACTTTTCGCTCGGAACTCCGATTGAGGTGAATTTTTTTTCAAATTTTCAGAACGAAAAATTACACATACGATTCAACGCCAAAGGCGTTTTTGCGATTCTTAGAATTCCAAAAAAAATCAGGAAGTGGGAGTTTTCAAGCTCCTAAGTTATTGCACGGTTTTCAGCAAACGTGCCTATTTTTCTGTAGACCACATCCCACCTCTGTTTAAGGTGAAAATTTTTGTGGTTCCATCTTGTGTGATCCCTGTTTGGAGAAAAATACAACAAAAATATTTGAGAAAAATAAAAAAGTGGATTCCTACTAGCCCTGGAGGGAAAATCAGGGAAAAGAATAAAAACCATTGCATTGGGTGCTCTTTGCTTGTTCTTTGAGTTTTATCCATCGGCTTTCATTCCAACTTGTTGTGCTACGTCTAGGGACACGTCTTAGCCAGCAATTGTGACTTATACTTTGGATACTTATTGAACTTTGCTAATCTGCTTCGGCTATTGCTATTCCTTGCTACCATATTGTGTCTGTCCAAAGCTCCACATATACTTCTGTCAGTACATGTTCACCTTGCAACTGTTACACCCAAGCTTGACAACACATTGTACTGCCCTGTTGGCTTTGGTAAGAACACTTGCAAGACGGTGGTAAGCCATTTGAGATATTGCTTTCCACTTTTACCACCACCCAGTAGTTGCTAGTTGATAGGAATAATACTTTTGTGTTGTCTTTTGTTGTCTTCTAATAATAACAGGTTGTTCGTATCCACCGACTTATGATGGTATAGGTGCTGATGAGTACATGGAGTGAGAAATTGCCATAGATAACATATTTGCTACTCGCTTTATGTGTCTAAGGAGGAAGGTAAAAAATGCAGCCAGTGTTTTGCGACATTCTGCTTTATCTTGGTGGGAGTCTTTAGATCCTTCTGATAAACCTCACACATGAAATGATATGAAAGATCTTATGAGAGAAAATTTTGTTAATCCATCTTTTGTAATTAATTCAAATGATGAGGTGCATCAACTAGATTAATCTCTTGTTATTCCTCCTGCCATGCCTAATCTTTTGCAGGACAGTGTACAAAAGAGCGAGGATGACGTGATAGAAAATGAGATGCTCATAGCCTCATGTGAAAATTTAGAACCATCAACTATTACTCCTGCTGAATATGAGAGCAAAGGTAATGCCCATGATGTTAAACTCACAGAAGGTGAGAGTTCTCTTGATGTGCTGAATTTTTCCACCAATCATGCTATGATAAAGCAAATTTTAGTAGAGCCTTCGCTTGATTTACCTTTGTCACAAGATGATTTGCTTGATGTTTCTTGTGATGAAGATGACTTGCATGATGATATTTATGTTAT